TTAAAACACAATTAAAAGATAACTAACTTTTATTTGAATCAAAATCAATGTAATGCATAAATCGAATAGTTAAATTTATTTTATAAATACAAAATTCACTAAAAATATAATTAAATTTAGAGGCACTGTATGTACATATGTTAATGATTTCAATGAACACATTCTTATGGTAATGAAGCGATACATTTATTTCAATTATTGTCCGAAAGCACACAACACTTAATTAAATCATTTGGTTTAATCATCTGTAGCCGTTATAATAACCGCTTTGCTGGCCATTATTCCACTGGTAAGTGTACATGGGTGCGGAATGTGCGGGCTGTGGCACGGGTTGAGGGCCCGGCTGTTGTGCAATTGGCTGCTGGTATACAACATTAGGCATCATATAGCCTGTCGACGGGTACATCTGGTTGTTGGGCGCGAAGTGTTGCGGTGTCTCCATTGGTGCGAACGGGTTTCGGGCGGGATATTGATTGGCATAACCGGTAGCGCCCGAACCGAAGGCATAGTGTTGGTTATAGACTTGTTGCGGCTGCGGCTGCTGTTGGCGATTGTGAAAATTATTGTTATTATTCAGTGAATTATTTTGATGCACTGATTGGCGAGCCGTTGCGTTCTGTTGGTCACGCTTTTGCTCCATTAGTTTGTGGTGAGCGTTGTTCACGTGTTGTGTCAATATATTCTGGGGATTCTGGTTATGTATGTTGAGATCAATGGCGCATATCTTGCAGTGAATACCACTGACCAATCCGTTGGCAAACTTGAAAACATAGTCCCCTCTCGCCGCCGCTTGACTCGATGTGGACGTTGTGGCCGACGCAGTGGTGTTCGTCACGTTAACCGTTGTCGGCGCTCTGTTATAAACGACTGCGTGTCCAGCATTGGTCGGCCGTACGGTCACTCGCGTATTGCGCGGAGCAGTAGCAGTATTTTGAGTGCCGGGAGGTCTAGTAATCACTAAATTAATATTCTGTCGATTACCGACAGTTGTCGACGTGTGAGTGGTTATGGGCCGAGAAGAGCGGTTCACTTCCTGTTCAGCAGTGGTCAAAAACTGGACGATATTATTGATCGACGCCTCCTTCTCTGCATTTGGCGCCCTTTTATCGTTTTGTTTGTTTGTCTGCACGAAAGTCGTTATATCCTTCTGGTAACTCTTGGCCGACGCCAACGTCTTCGCTGCGTAGGTATTTAGTAGTGAATTAGTCTTAGAGCCGGAATCGTTGGCCACTTCCTCGTCGTCATCGATATCTATGATCTCGTCTAAACTCGTGTCCAAACTAATGACTTTATTGTCGCTACTCTTAGATACAACTGAAAGAGCAAACAATTCATTAATAAGAGAATCATGAATAAATACAACAATACACACAATTATCGGGTCGTTTGGTCTCTGGCATCCAAACGGCGTGTTTGTCAAACGTGATGTTTTCTACCGACGAATCGAGTGCTTTCATCATTCTTAATATGTGGTCCATTTGGCTATCAATCAATTAAACAGTCAATCAAAGTAATCAACAAAATGGTTAGTATTTAAGATATTAATGAAGAGACAAACCTATCAATAACTAGCTGTTCGAGTTTAGCGGGTTGTTTGCATTTGGGACACTTCCAGTCGTCTATTTTCTTATTATAGACTATTTCGAAAAAGTTGTTGATATCGAAACAATCGATGTGATGACAGTTGATGGAACGACTCGGTATTATCACAACTTGGCTTGTGATCTGCCAATAGATTCAATAGTAAATAATTAGTGTAAATAGTAATTCAATTGTATAAACTGATCCCAAAGTGATCGGCGGTCAGCAATAGTCATTAATTATGATCGATGGCATTGACCACAATAACAATAAGCTTACTATAGTCTTATTAAAGTGGTCGCAATCGACAACTACCGTAAAAACTATTTTTCATAGTGTGCTATGAGGTGATGGACGAGAGGGGCAGTGATAAGTCATTAATGAGATTAGACTAATGAGACGGACGAGAGGAATATCACTGGGAGTGATTGTTTCACATTGACCACAATAGTGACAATTGTCACACATTTATAATGTAAAACTAATGCAAAACACTTACGGGACACATGAGAGAAACTTTCAATGTTTGCTCCAACGTCTCGATGTCGTCACTGTCGGAGTTCAACAACCTTTTAACTGCAATTAAATTCAATTTATAATTAAAATATGAAAAAATAGTTAAAAGCAAAACACATACTTCTCTCTATAGTAGTATACGAGGGAAGAACTCTAATTCTGACTGAATGAGGTAATTTAGGCGGCGCTTCGATCGTAAATGGTTGTCCATTCTTGACAGTATAGAGTGCATGCGGTACTGCATCGGGAGTTCTCACTTCCAATATTGAAACAAAAGTTCGCGGCTGTTGTGGTTCGGGTGGCGCTATAGCCAGCGCTTCCGGTGACTTTGGTTTAGCCACAACTGGCGTTGGTTTGACCTGAAAACACAAATCGTTTCGTTATTTAAATACATTGTAATCGCAAACAATTGATATAAACACTAACATCAATGACGGGCACAACGGCTGGGCTTTTCAATTGAGGTTTGCTTTTCGGAACTTTTGGTGAAGAACTGGTCACTAGAGGCGGTGAAACACTAACACTGTTATTGTTGGACACAATATCACTGGAGCGGTCACTCGAAGAGTCGAGTATCACATCGTTATTTAGATTCTGAGAATCGATTTCTTGAGTCTGTAACTCTGGAGACACTCGTGAGGACACACTTGTAGCACATGTGGTGACCGTTGCAACGGGTGGTCGAACTGAGGCGACGGCAGGAACAGGTGTCGCCTCCCTTCTCACCAGAGTCTCCAATTGTCGCGATAGATGTGTCAATGTATCGGAATAAGCGTACGCTTTGTGATCCGTGTCTGACTTGTCGGACGTGTCTGAGGCAGAGCTACCTTCAGTGTCTGATGTACTCATGCCGTCTGTAAATTTTTTAAAAAATTTATTAGTCATTAAGTAAACTATTCATCAAATATGGGCTATAATTGTGACTATTTTTAAGATAACATTTAATGTTAGAGCTATTAAACAATGCATTTTGCTTGCATTTGTTAAACAAAAAGGTCATCTTAAATAAACCGATGGTTTGAATGATTTGAGTGATTGACTGATTCACTGATAACTCAAACACGCGTTGTATTGAAGAGAGAAAGCAGTGAATGAATGAACGCAACAATAAAGCGGTGAAACAACACTCACTCCTCACTCGTTGTGCCCACAGTTTTGGCGCATTTGCACGGATAGTACGGCCCGAAACACAACCACTTCTGCCCCCCAAACACACTGACCGCCCCTTTTGGGCCCCCAATCGACCACTAATTGACCACTTTTTGGCCACATTTTGTTCGTCATATTTATAACAAGCGATTTGTATGAATAAATTTAAATATTAGCCCGTGGTTGTTAAATTGATCATGTTAATTTAAATATTAATTAAATTTACCGACCATTCGGTACTTTTACAGCCGACTCTACGTAAGCATTGAGCGAACAATTACTATAGGAATCATCAAAAAATAAACTCAATAAAAGGTACCAAATGTGCGGTTAATAAAGGCATACGTAATACTAGTGTTCAAAAAGGGTTCAAATGAATATTTAATGATGAAATTTAGAGTTTAATTTTGGCCTTAATTTTAATGAAATTAGTTTAATAGGGATTAAAGTCCGCAGAAATGCGTTGAAATGATGGCCAAATAATTGATACCACGTTTGAAACGCGGATCAAACGGAACGCAAACTTATAGTCCGTCACAAAAGCGTTACGATNTAGTCCGTCACAAAAGCGTTACGATATTTGGGCGCAAATGAGTGCCTATTTGTAACACTAGTCCTCAGGAAAACACTATTCAAAGTGTAATCATTAGAAAACATTTGGGAAATGAATGAAAAATGCAATCAAAACACAAACAATGCATTGAAATGTGAGACAAAATTGGTGTCAATTGTATTGTTTATTAAATGAGTGTTAAATTCAATGTTTGTTTTTCCCATCCATTGCTTAGAATTGCATAAATTGTGCGCAAAATGAATGAATGCATTGATTGAGTGATTGAATGGCCGACACTTCGAAGGTTAAGGTAAGTGCGGACACGGGTTATAGCCTTCGGGTGTTTTTGACCACATGTTGTCTAATGCGACGACCATTTGGTTGTGTATTCTTCAGGATATCTTAGAGACGTTTCGGACGGAAGATCTGCAGGAAGTGCTGAAGGAGTTCCGATTGCCATTCGTTGGCCGCAAAACAGAGCTCTTTCAACGCGTTTTGTCACTCATTGATGACAACGTATACGATTCAGACGTGTGTCTGAAAGTGAAACAACACATCCATCAGATCAACAAAGAGAGAGATATGTCCCCAACCCTCGACACTTACGCCTCGAAAGGCAGGAAGAGGTCCACTCGCTATGAGTCGGACGACAGCTATAATGAGAGCAACGATGAGGCGTCCGAAGAAGAGGGAGAGTTAGTGGATGACGAAGAGTCGGAAGCATTCGTGGTGTCGGATAACTCCGATTCCAGTGATTTCGAAGACATCACGAGTAAGACGAAGACGTCTACTAAACGGAAGCGAAACGTGACGAGTGGTAGCAGTGATGAGTCGTCGGACGCGGACTCAGACAATGTGTTTCAGAAATTTAGGAACAAATCCCGATCTCAGCGACAGAAGGAGAAGGAGGAGAAGAAAGAGAAGAGAAAGCGTGAAATGCAGAAGAAGTTGCAGAAGAGACCGGGGAAGAAGACACGAGTGCAGTACGAGTCGAGCAGTGATTCAGACAATTCATCGGAAGACTCGTTGAAAATTAGGTCCAAAACAAAGAAGTCAAAACCGCCGCTCAAGTACTTAAGTGACAGCTCCAGTGATGCTTCAGTCGCACGCGTCAGCACTACTAACCATCAAAACACTGTGGAAGAAGACAGCAGTGACGACGACATTGAGATCATCGCTGAGATCCCAGCGGAGCGGTCGACGATTAACCGTCAATATAATTATTATAGTATAAAATCGGGTATAAAATGTGATCCGCTTCCCAACCATTGGGATTGTTTTGCTTTAATAATGTTTATATCTTAACAATACTAACATTTAC